GGTTTTCTAGATATGATCTAAATTGACTTTTTGAATGAAAGTATGTTTTTTGTTTCTTGAGGATCTATAGCAGACCACCATCTTTGATCTGTAAACTAGCTCAGTTTTCAGAAAGACCTAGCAGCAATCATTCAGTTCTGGCTGCCAGGTCTTCTCCCCCAGTGTGGTGCTCTCTGTCAGGAGGAAGAGGTGGGCCAGGTGAGATGTGTCATCACTTCCTGCCCTCTCCTACAGAGCAAATAAGATAAGGAGCAGCAACTTGGCAGTCAATACAAGTAAGCTCCTTGTAGATTTTTTTTGTATGGCACCTGCCATAGCCCCCCTGCACCCACAACAGCCCCCCTTCACCCTCCATAGCCCTCTGCAACTGCCACAGCCCCACCTGCCCAAACTACAGCCCTAATGTCTCCCTGCACCCACCTAAGGCCCCTTGTCTCCCTGCTCCCCTCAGCCTCCCTGCATCCATCTAAGCCCCCATGTTTTCGGTCAGCACATATGAGGTACTTTAGGCCCCCTGCACCCACCTCATGCATTTATGTCCATGCACCCAACACAGCCCCCCTGCACTGCACCCACCTCTGCCTCCACCTGCACCTACCTCACCTTGTGATGCCACAACAAATACAGTGGAAGCTTGTAATTCAATTAAATTATTTTAATGGTGAGGGGGCGAGGGAATGTGTGCCAGCAAAGGGTACTCCATCCAAAAAAAATTATATTATTAAAACACTGTTTTGGTTGGCTGCACCCCTTAAAAGTGAATCTGGCCCTGTTTGAGGGCCATACGGGTGTGGGATCATGACTGTGTGGCTCTCATACAGCCTCTCTGAGTGCTGTTCTGCACGTACATAATATCTGTGTGAGACCCACATGAAGAAGGGGGAGAAAAGTAGTAGTGGCCAAAAATGTTTGCATGAGGAGGGGAATGCTTGATCTCCCATTGCCCGGGGGACTTGTGAGTTGTTAGGCCACCCCTGGGCCATAATAGTCCCCAAACATGTTTTTTACAAAAGTATGTATACATAGTAAATCTCTGGGTTTTACTACCTCTCCACAAGCAAGGTTATGTATTAGATACCTTACCCAAGTGGGTCATTGTAGAGGGGCATAGTGGAAAGGATGTGCTGAACTTTAAAGCATCATTAAGTACAATACAAACCATTTATTGCACAGTTAGGGGCTTATTCACTAAACACTATCAGTGTTATTTATGAAAGAGAGAATTCAAAGTGAATCTTAAATTTAAGGCCAGAGCAGCCAACCTGAAAGCAAAGCTTACATAGAGTATTTTTCCAGTTTGACTATTCTGACCTTAAATGTTAGATTCACTTTACATTCTCGCTTTTGTAAATAGCCCTGTAAATTCATGTTTTATTTATGGGAAGTTTGTGTCCATTACTGAAGGTGATTGTAGTGCTGTTTAATATATTATGTTTCATCTCAAAATAGCTGTAGTGACCCAATATCAACCCTTGTTTGTAGGAAACAGAATGGACCCCAGCCCCACAGGTCATTTTATTTATTTTTTCCTCAGGAGGAGATCAATCAAACATAATCTCCAATTACAGAGTGCCTTGTTATGAAATCCAATTTGGTGTTTCTAAAAAGTTCAGCTCGGTCAGCACATATGAGGTACTGTTGTCAAAACCAAATCTGTTGGGACATATTCTGCTAACATTTAGCCACTAAATATAGATCCTTGGCTCATTATAAGTGTTCAGATTCTGTGGAAGGTCAAGTCATAGCACAGGGTTTTAGTAAATGTCGCCAGTGCCAATCGTTATGTATACTGACTAATGTTACACCTATTACCAGCTGTAGACCATCAGTTAAATATCATCTACATAAATATTTTAAGGATGTTTGTAGACATTATTTTACATACTTGATCAAAATCGCTGTGGAAGGAGCTGTAATAGGACTACCAAATTAAACAATTTTGTCAGGACAGTCCTGATTTTCGGGCCTGTCTCACCGTCCTGACTTTGTATCTTGGTGCCTCCTGGTGTCACCAGCAAGCATAGCTCAGGGCATTAGGACCCTGCCAAGATCTCTGAAACAGTGCTCCCTGCATGGTCTGCCCTTGGTGGAACCGCACCTTTTACAGAGGGTCTACCCTCTTTTTTTCACAGCCAGTGATGCAAATCCCGATACTGGAATGCCCCCTTTTACATCTCCCACTGCTGTTCCACTTTACAGAACGCCGGAATTGAGGTAGGCTGTAGCTTGACAAAAAAATCTAATATTAGTTGTAGAAGGTCTGCAGTGTAGAAGTATTGTAGGCATAGGTTGCACTGTGCTGTATGCACAAGAGTTTTGCTAAGCCACATCCTAATGCTAGCTTGAAGTGTACTCTCTGTCACCCAGCTGTTCCTATTATATCAGTCATTATCTGGTTAATCATGAAAAGAATGTAAGTGGTCCATTTTCATGATTTTCAATTTTAACCAGACAATGAACAACCAAACAGAATTTGTATACAGTCGTATATGGCTCCAACATGGGTCAAAGCAGTATGCATGCCTAGGTATTTTTTAGCTCTGTATATTTTAAGTAGAATTTAGCAGGCAGTTTAAAAAAACGGTACATTCACTTTAAGAATAAAATAAATGTCCATTATGAACAAGTAATGCTCGCTTTAAACCCCCCTCTAATAAAGCATGCAACACACGCTTATGATTGTAAAGTAATCTTATGTGTAAATTATGTTAAAGGACCACTATAGGCACCCAGACCACTTCAGCTTAATGATGTGGTCTGGGTGCCAGGTCCAGCTAGGTTTAACTCTTTAACTCTAACATACTCTACGAGTATGTTTTCCTGGCACTATAGTGGTCCTTTAAGCTTTACAGTATTATTAACACATATTCTAAAAGGAATTTTCCGAATGAGGTTTTTGCAGTTAGGCATTGGGATATTTAATTAAAGAGGCACATGTAATGACAATTACCAGTTTATCACCAACAAAATCCACACTGTTATAACATAGTTTTTTTTATTTAAATATGAAGGTAGAAATACTTAAAGGACCACTATAGTCACCCAGACCACTTCAGCTCAATGAAGTGGTCTGGGTGCCAGGTCCCCCACGTTTTAACCCTTCAGATGTAAACATGGAAGTTTCAGAGAAACTGCTATGTTTACATTGCAGGGTTAATCCAGCCTCTAGTGGCTGTCTTCCTGACAGTCGCTAGTGGCGCTTCTGCAACGCTGAATGCGAAAATCAAATTGAGCAGGCAGAACGTCCATAGCAAAGCATTGAGAAATGCTTTCCTACGGGCGTTTTTTAAAGGACCACTATAGTGCCAGGAAAACAAACTCGTTTTCCTGGCACTATAGTATTAATAGGTCCCCCCCCACCCTCATGGCCCCCACCCGCCAGGCTGAAGGGGGAGGAAGGGGTTAAACACGCACCTTTCTCCAGCGCCCGGCTCCCTCGGCGCTGGGGACTCTCCTGCTCCTTTGGACGTCATTGGCTGAATGCGCATGTGCAGCAAGATGCTTTCCTATGGACGCTGTGTCTTCTCACTGTGAAAATCACAGTGATAAGCGCGGAAGTGCTTCTAGCGGCTGTCAATGAGACAGCCACTAGAGGCTGGATTAACCCATATATTCTCAGAAACTGCTATGTTTACAGCAGGCAGGGTTAACCCTAGAGGGACCTGGCACCCAGACCACTTCATTAAGCTGAAGTGGTCTGGGTGCCTATAGTGGTCCTTTAATGTTTTAACCCCTTCAGCCCAGCGGCAGGGGGGACCTAAGGGTTAAATAGTGTCAGGAAAACAAGTTTGTTTTCCTGACACTATAGTAATCCTTTAACATAAAGATGTGTATATATATATTTTTTTTATTCAGGAATTATTCTTATACATAGAAAAAATGGGAATTGGGGACACACCCAGAACATACAGTTCTCAGTAGTGGAACAGTGCGCACACAAAACATCCAATGTTAAATTTTACAAGGCTACTTAAAATCATCATTCTTAGCAAACAAATATGGGGGTTCAGTTACACCACATGGCCATATATTGTTAAGCCCGCCAATACATCACAGTACCCCAATATGGTGCGTCATATACTAATTTCAGCATGGGAGATTAACATGCTAACTGCAATACTTACTGCTTAAACTGCCAGTAACTCTCATCAAATGTGTATATTATTATTATTATTATATTTATATAGCACCAACAAATTCTGTAGCTCTTTACAGTGGGTGGACTAACAAATATGTAACTATAACCAGACAAGTTTGACGAACAGCAACAGAGGGGTTGAGGCCCCTGCTCAATGAGCTTACATGCTTGAGGAAGTGGGGTTAAGTGACAGAAAAGGTAAGGATAGTATTAGGGAAGTAGATTGGTAGAATAGTATTCAATGAAGACATTGTGTTTTTTTTTTTTCTGGAGCCATTAACAGTTTAATTGATATGCTTTTGTGAAAAGGTTTTTTATATATATATATATTTTTTTTAACGAGTGGAGACTGGGTGAGCATCTAACGGAGGAGGGAAGCGAGTTCCACAGGAACGGTGCAGCCGTAGAGAAATCATGAAGGCGAGCATCAGAGGTGGGAATACGAACAGTGGATAGACGTAGGTCTTCGGCAAAGCGTAGGGGCCTAGATGTGACATATTTGTGTATTAGGGAGGATAGATAGCTGGGAGTAGCATTATGTAGAGATTTGAAAGCAAGAACCAGAATTTTGTATTGAGCCCTGTATCTTACGGAAAGCCAATGCAGGGACTGACAGAGGGGTGAGGCATGGGAGGTGCAGGCCGACAGGAAGATGAGCCTCGCCGCGGCATTCATTATAGACTGCAATGGGGCACGTTGGGAGCACTTAAGACCACTGAGAAGCGCATTGCAGTAGTCAAGGCGAGAGAGGACAGTGGCATGGACCAGCACCTTAGCCGCATCTGGCGTTAAGTAGGGGCGGATGCGCGCAATGTTTTTGAGATGGAAGCGGCAGGATTTGGCAATCGACTGGACATGAGGGGTGAAGGAGAGGTCGGAGTCAAAGAGAACATCTAGGCAGCGAGCCTGCATGGAGGAGCTGATGGTAGCACGATTAACGTGGAGGGAGACAGAGAAGGGAGTAGCAACAATTGATGGAGGAAAGATCAGAAGTTCTGTTTTGGACAAGTTACCGGTAAGTTTAAAGAAGTGGACAGCCGTCCAGTTAGAAATAGCAGAGAGCCAGTCAGGGACACTAGTCAAGGAGGGGGGGGGAGACCAGGGCAGGACATATAGATTTGCATGTCTTCCGCATAGAGTGATATTGGAAGCAAAAAGATCTGATGAGTTTACCAAGGGAGGCACTATAAATCAACAACAGTAGGGGACCAAGGACTGAACCTTGGGGGACACCAACAGAGAGAGGTTGGGAGGAAGAGGCAGAGCCAGAGAAAGAAACCCTAAAAGAGCGTTGGGTGAGGTAGGAGGAGCACCAGGAGAGCGCAATATATCGTAGACCGAGATTACAGAGGATGAGAAGAAGCTGTTGATGATCAACAGTATCAAAAGCAGCGGAAAGGTCAAGGAGAATTAGGATAGAGTAGTGACTATGAGATTTTGCAGCGAGTAGATCAATTGATACTTTGGTCAGAGCTGTTTCCACAGAGTGCTAAGAGCGGAAACCAGACTGAAGTGGGTCGAGCAGAGAATTGGACTCAAGGAAGTCTGTCAATCTCATATAAACAAGTCTTTCACGGATCTTGGACACAAAAGGCAGTAGCGAGGTAGGGTAGAAGTTGGACAGGGAGTTAGGGTCAAGGTTGGTCTTTTTAGAATTGGGGTTACAGTCGCATGTTTGAAGGGTAATGCAAATATGCAGGATGAGAGGGAGAGATTGAGAATTTTAGTGAGAGGCAAAGCAAGAGAAGGAGACAGAGTACAGATGAAATACGAGGGAATGGGATCAAGGGAGCAGGTGGTGGGGCGGGAGGACCGGAGTAGATCAGAAACCTCAGTAAGGGGAAGGAGAGAGATGAGAGATCTCTTCCCTGATTGTAGAGATCTTATTAGTGAAGTGAGTTGCAAAGTTTGTGGCGGTTAAGTCGGTAGGAGGAGGAGGAGCAACAGGGCAAAGAAGAGAATTAAAAATGTAAAATAGTCGTTTGGGTTCACGGAGAGTGAGGTTACTGTGGTCACCTCCAAAGGGGCACATATAGTTACTGTCATTACCAAACCAAATATTTTATCTTATTAGGTGAACTGGCTAAATGCTAGTTTTAGTCATTGTCTTTTGACTAAAAAGCCATTTTTGTTTTAGTCGTAGTTTAGTCATCTGATTTCTTTTTTTAGTTTTAGTCGAATAAATCTCCAGTAGATTTTAGTCAACATGACTAAAAATTGGTTTAGTTAAAGCCTCTATCTGTCTCTTGTCTCTTCTCCAGCCCCACTGTGTCTTTGTGTCATACCAGCTCCTCTAGGTGTCTCTCTTTCAAACCCTGGTCTGTCTCTTTTGCCCTTTACCCAGCCCCTCTAGGTGTCTCTCTCTCTCAAGCCCTGGTCTGTCTCTTTTGCCCCTTCCACAGCCCCTCTGTGCAGTGTTAAATGACCACTAAAGGCACCCAGACCACTTCAGCTTAAAGAAGTGGTCTGGATGCCAGGTCCATCTAGGATTAACCCTTTCTGCTGTAAACATAGCAGTTTCAGAGAAACTGCTATGTAAACCTATGGGTTAATCCAGCCTCTAGTGGCTGTCTCATTGACAGCCGCTAGAGTCGCTTCTCACTGTGAAAGTCACAGTGAGAAGACTCCAGCGTCCATAGGAAAGCATTGAGAATGCTTTCCTGTGGACTGGCTGAATGCACGCGGCTCTTGCCGCGCATGTGCATTCAGCCAATGACAGGGAAAGGAGGCGGAGAGTTTCCAACGGCGAGGTGAGTGTTTAACCCCTTCCTCACCCTAGAGCCTGGCGGGAGGGGGACGCTAAGGGTGGGGGGACCTAGAGACCCTATAGTGCCAGGAAAACGAGTATGTTTTCCTGGCACAATAGTGGTCCTTTAATTGTGGCAGCAAATTTCAATTCAATTTTAGTCAGTCTTTTGACTAAAAAGCCATTTTAGTTGTATTTTAGTCATCTGAATTGTTTTAGTTTTAATTGACTAAAATTGTTATTCGACAAAGTAAACATTGGTACCGATTGCTGGCATTTTTTAACCCCTGGAGTTTTCCTATTATCTGACATCACCAATTCACTGCTGACATTTAAGGCTTATCTGAATATTCAATTGTGTCTTAAGAATCCTGTGATAAGAAACTATACTGTGCTTAGTGTTGTGGATTAACTTTCATACCTGGGATTAGCTCTATTGCTTTTATTGAGTATTTGCTCTGTTCTGCATTCTTACAAGTGTGATTTTAAAGTCTCACTTTTAGCACTTCACATATTTTATCTTTTTTTTTTTTTTCACTGCTGAGAGGTGTCTTGCCTGAGATTCTGGAGTCTGGTTCCAAGTCTGTGATCAGCTGACAGGATTTGCTGATTACAATTCCTTTTGGGCTTCACTCCGATGACTGTGTGCAGGCACTGGGCTTTGTACTCATTTATTTATAGCTGTCAAGCCTTTTCATTCTTTTTTACAGTGTGCCTTAACTATACATTGTGAGAAGAGCAAGTTCGTGACATGTGATGTTTGATCTCATTCTCTGAAGAAAAGTATAAAATAACTCCAGTCTGGAAGTACATTTTATATAGTTATATTCATTCTTTTCTAATTTGAATTGGGCATAAGACTTGGAGATTTGTTTCTGGCTGTACTGCAATTTAGTTGAATGCAGACCGATTAGGTGAAAATTCTGATTTCTGAGTCACTACGTGGCAGAATCTCTGAGAAACTGACTTCCGCTGGTCCAAACATGCTCATTTTGCTGCTTGATTCAGAATGCCATTCTTGGCACCAGAATAAAAAAATAAAGAATATGATGGAGAAGAGGCTGCATTTGTTTTGTTTGGCCATGATGGACAAGGGGTCTAACCAATCATGTGAGCTGCATCTACTGTACGAGCATAAATACTATTAACTGTTCGGAGAAATGGAATCGTATTAAAAAAAAAAAAAGTTTGAGTGTGTTCAGTCATGTGTGTGCCATGCACGTGTGCGAGCACTGTGCTGTGTCCTATATCCATAAAAATAACAATAGTTATTTTAGGATTATAGTTTCCTTTCGGTCCACTCTCCTTTTGTGTTTAAAAAAAAATAAGTATCCCTCACAACATGCGTAACGCATAAAGAACAGGCCTATAAAACCATCTTCCGCTGGTACCTGACGCCATACAGACTGCACCAAATGGGCCAGAAAACCAACAACGAATGCTGGAAACTATGTGGAGAAAAGGGCACATACCTCCTCTGTTGGTGGACATGCTCTGGACAGAGGTAGAGAGCCTAATCGAACAGGTGGTAGGAAAACCAATCTTAGTACAGCCATGGACAATGCTACTCAACAAACCACTGGACACCCTCACGAGACAGGAAAACAAACTGGTGGCCCGCGTAACCCTAGCTACAGGCAGAGCAATCGCAGAACTATGGTCAGATCAACGGATTCCCGAGCTTACGACCATCACCCACAAAATAAGAGAAACACGTGACTTAGATGAACTAACAGCGCAAATACACGACTCGTACACAGCGTTTCACCGGACATGGGACCTCTGGGATACATAACACTCCCATAGCAATACCCACCAATACCACCAGACTCACCTGAGACACCCTCCTGACAACTCACCCCCCCTCGGCCTCCGGACGAGGGGAACTTTAATCCAGATGCCCACCCACCAGGCGTACAAAAGTCAGATGAACCCGCACAAAAGCGCCATGAACAGGCCAGACTGACCCGACCACAAATAACACAGCCCACACGAACCCCATGACACACAATCACTCCCCATCTGCTTCCTTCCTCCCCGACAGCGAAAGAAAAGAACATTTAAAACAGAGAGCCCTCTCGGCACCTCCCCCCACCCTAAAGGCCCGGCCGGGATGGATGCGCGGACACGGGGCGGGACCCCCGACCACACACCACTCCTTCAGGTCCCTCAAGGGGAGAACAAGAAACAGAGAGAGGAGAGAAAGGGCAAAGAGGGAAGGAGACGCACACAAACCCACACCAGCGTAAACACTACACAGGGACACAAAAGCGACAGCACACCCCAAACCACAACACGAAACAACTGCTCACGACCAACACCGAAACCCACAACTATAACAAGAGCAACCAAGAAAGGACACAGACCAGTAATGGAGAGGGTATCGGACCTGAATCACACCCACTGAAGACACCGAGCACAGACCCCCAACACACCCCGACCAGCCCCTTCCCCCCCCCACTTCACCACCCACTCTCCAACAACCCTGAAAGAGACCACCCAAAACAAATAAGACAACACATAAGAACTCAGAAACATAGACACACAACAATGAAACCAGGAGAGCACCTTAGATACTAGGAACGCCCTTCTACCCCCTAGTAGGGACAAGCAATTAGAGGAACCACCAGACAACATGCAAACACGCTTGCACAAAGCCCAGAGACAATACACGCGACCAAAGACCTAAGAAGGGCCTTACCCGCAACGACAAGACCTGACCGCCCGAAGACCCCAAAACCAAGTACACACGAGTACCACGGCAACAGTCAGCTCAGATAGAAACCAGACTAAGGCTACTCCAGAAAACGACTTAGATAAGACGAGGACAACCTGGGACAATGTGTTTGCAATATGTTACCCCTTCCCCCTTTTTTTCTTCTGTACCCACAACCCATACCATGCCAAAATTGAACACTTAACAAATAAAGAATTTATAAAAAAAATAATAAAAATAAGTAAAACAAAGACTATTGCAGCACTGCCCAAGAAAGCACCTCTAGTAGCCATCTGAGGAGTGTCCAGTGGAGTATCCCTAGGCTGTGATGTAAACACTGCATTTTCTCTGTGCTTGCTGCAAAAAAAGCCTGAAGGCAATGATTATACAAACCATAACAAATACAATAAGCTGTAGTTGTTCTAGTGACTATAGTGTCCCTTTAATATAGCTGTTCTGTAGTCTATATCTTGGTCCTGCACGCTTTTCAATGTAAACACTGACTTTTCAGGCGAAAGGCAGTGTTTGCATTACTGGTTGGTAACATCTCTAGTGGCAATCATTTAGACGGCCTCTAGAAGTGCTTCCTGGTTCACCTATGTTAATGCTCCCCATAGGGATGCATTGATTTAATGCATCTTCATGAGGAGAAGTTGATTGGCGCAGAGTGGCATTTTGCCTCGCATGCGCAATAGTCTAATAATGCTTTATTATAAGGGAGCCTTGGATTGGCTGAGATTGTCAAGATTGATGGAGGTGGTGCCAGCCGCAGTGTCACTAGCATGGTGTGGGAAAAAGGTGAGTAAAAACATCTCTCCATGAGCCGCCCGCCTCCTTCAGCACTCCATGAGCCGCCCGCCTCGCTTAGCTCTCCATGAGCTAGACACGCACCTGCCTGCCTCCCGGAGCTCTTCATGAGCCGTAGCACCTGGGATTTATTGAGCCCTGTATTAATCCCCCACAGGCAGAGCTGGACTGGGACAAAAATTCAGCCTGGACAAATAAAGACAGAGCAGCCGACTATGAGGGGCAGAGACAGAAAGGAGGTGTGTTTGTTAGTGTGATGCACCTCCAGAGCATCTGCTCTGTGGTGGAGTAAATGTCCTGTTTTTATTTTGTTCAATGTAAACATGCGCAGTGTTTGCTAGTGATTTATCCCTGGTGTCCTCAATAGTGGGATACCATAGAACAAATGTGGAACAGGACTATTAAAGTGTGTTGTGTGGATGCTCCCTGTGGTGTTGTATGTGTTTGGAGGTTGCTTTTGAGATTGCATGTGTGCATAGGAGCCTATTTGTGTTGTAGTTTGTGGCGTACTATGTGTGGCTAGGGGCTGTAGTGTGTGTGTGTGTGTGTGTGTTTATAGGGCCTGTCGAGTGTGTGGGACTAGGTGGTGTGAGGGCTGTACTATGTGTTTCTAGAGGATGGAGGGGGTTGCATTGTGTGTATCTAGAAGCTTTAGTGTTTGTATAGGGGTTGTAGTGCACATGTGTAAATAGGTGCGGCAATGAATGTATGTATACGGGGTGTAGAGTGTGTGTATAGGGGTATAAAATGTGTTTTTATAGGGAAAATAGAGTAATGTGTGTGTGAATGCATAGGGCGTGTGGTGTGTTTACAAGAGGTATAGAGTTTGTGTACTGTGTGTATATAAGTGGTTGTAGTGTGTGTGTGTGTGTATATAAGGGGGTGTAGTGGGTGTATATAAGGTGTGTGTGCCTGCTAATGAGAGAGCTTGTGTGTGTGAATGCTAGTGAGAGAGGTTGTGTGTGTGAATGCTAGTGAAAGAGCTTGAGTGTGTATGTGTGTGTGCGTGCCTGTTAGTGAGAGTGCTTGTGTGTGTGCCTGCTAGTGAGTGAGCTTGTGTGTGTGTATGCTAGTGAGTGAGTGTGTGTGCCTGCTAGTGAGTGAGCTTGTGTGTGTGTGTGTGCCTGCTAGTGAGTGAGCTTGTGTGTGTGCCTGCTAGTGAGAGCTTGTGTTCATGTGTGCCTGCCTGCTAGTGAGTGAGCTTGTGTGTGTGTGTGTGTGTGTGTGCCTACTGGTGAGTGAGCTTGTGTGTGTGAATGCTAGTGAGAGAGGTTGTGCGTGTGTGTGAATGCTAGGGAAAGAGCTTGAGCTTGTGTGTGTGTGCCTGCTAGTGAGTGTGTGTGCCTGCTAGTGAGTGAGCTTGTGTGTGTGTGAGAATGCTAATGAAAGAGGTTGTGTGTGTGAATGCTAGTGAGATTGAGTGTGTATGTGTGTGTGCCTGTTAGTGAGAGTGCTTGTGTGTGTGTGCCTGCTAGTGAGTGAGCTTGTGTGTGTGCCTGCTAGTGAGTGAGCTTGTGTGTGCCTGCTAGTGAGTGAGCTTGTGTGTGTGTGCCTGCTGGTGGGTGAGCTTGTGTGTGTGTCTCAGTGAGGTGTGTGTGTGCCTGCTAGTGTGTGTGTGCCTGCTAGGTGAGGTGAGCTTGTGTGTGTGTCTGCTAGTGGCTGACTTGTGTGTGTGTGTCTGCTAGTGGTGGGCTTGTGTGTGTGTGAGTGAGCTTGTGTGTGCCTGCTAGTGAGTGAGCGTGTGTGTGTGTCTGCTAGTGAGTGAGCTTGTGTGTGTGTCTGCTAGTGAGTGAGCTTGTGTTCATGTGTGCCTGCCTGCTAGTGAGTGAGATTGTGTGTGTGCCTACTAGTGAGAGAGCTTGTGTGTGTGTACCTGCTAGCCTTTGTGTCAGTGAGCTTGTGTGTGTCAGTGAGCTTGTCTGTGGTGAGCATGTGTGTGTCAGTGAGCTTTTCTGTAGGAAGCATGTGTGTCAGTGAGATTGTCTGTCAGTGAGCCTGTGTGTGCATCTATGAGCTTGTGTTTTTATGCCAGTGAGAGTGTTTGTCAATGAGCTTGTGTGTCAGTGAGATTGTCTGTGTCTGCATGTTAGTATGCTTACTGTATAATTAAATGTTTTACTCTGAAAGGACCAATATTTTATATTAGAAAAATAAATATATATTTGTCTTATATACACCCTGTTCCAAATTATTATGCAAATTATATTTTTCTTATTTACCCAAACAATTGATGTAAATAACAGTCAGCATAATTCTCATAATTCTCAACTATTAAGAGTACAATTCAAATTTTATTGAACAAACCTCCTAATAATAAAAGTATTTTTTTTTTAAACACAAACTTACAATGCACTGTTCCAAATTATTACGCACAGTAAGTTTCAAAACACTTTATAGGTTTTAAAGAACTGAAAATTGTCATTTGTTGTGGTTTTTTTTTCTGAAATCAAAAGCTATTTCAATCAAACTTATAACAACATTTTAACTTTTTAAACATTTTAGCATAGGACCACTTATTTGATAGCAGCTTCATAAGTCTTGCATCCATTGAACTTGTGAGTTTTTGGACAGTTTCTGCTTGAATTTGTTTGCAAGATGTCAGAATAGCCTCCCAGACCTGCTGTTTGGATGTAAACTGCCTCCCACCCTCATAGATTTTTTGCTTGAGGATGCTCCAAAGGTTCTCAATAGGATTAAGGTCAGGGGAGGATGGAGGCCACACCATGACTTTCTCTCCTTTTATCCCCATAGCAGCCATTGATGCAGAGGTATTCTTTGCAGCATGAGATGGCGCATTGTCATGCATGAAGATGATTTTATTACGGAAAGCATAGTTCTTCTATGAAAAAAAAGTGGTCAGTCAGAAACTCCACATACTTTGCAGAGGTAATCTTTACACCTTTGGAGACCCTAAAGGGGACGACCAGCTCTCTTCCCATGATTCCGGCCCAAAACATGACTCCACCGCCTTGCTGACATCGCAGCCTTGCTGGAACAGGGTGGCCGTCCACCAACCATCCACTACCACATCCATCTGGACCATCCAGGGTTGCACGGCACTCATCAGTGAACAGGACTGTTTGAAAATTAGTATTCATGTATTTTTCTTCCCAATGCAGCCGTTTCTGCTTGTGAGCATTGGTTAGTGGTGGCTGAATAGAAGGTTTATGCACAGTTGCAAGACTCTGGAGGACTCTACACCTTGATGTCCATGTTTGCTGCTATGTAATGGTATTTTAGCAGCTGCTCTCTTGATCCGATGCATGGATCTGGCAGAAATCTTCCTCAATGTGCCTTTATCTGCACGAACTCGTCGGTGCTCTGAATCAGCCACAAATCTCTTAATAGTGCGATGATCATGCTTAAGTTTTCGTGAAATATCTAATGTTTTTATACCTCGTCCAAGGCATTGAACTATTTAATTCTTTTTGGCAGCAGAGAGATCCCTTTTCTTCCCCATATTGCATGAAAATGGTGCTCTGCTTAATAACAGTAGTTTTTCCTTAAATTGGGCTCACCTGGCAATCTAATTATCACAGGTGTCTTAGATTGTTTCAGTGATCAAAGGAGCCCTGAGACACAATGCCATCCATGAGTTAAACTGAAAAACAAAATATGTAATCTTGGTGACACTTAGAATTTGCATAATAATTTGGAACAGGGTATCTATCTATCTATCTATCTAGCTACACCAAAAAAGGTATGGTAGGGAAAATGTGTGATTGAAAACCCCTTCTATCCTCCCTATCCCTAATTAGACAGGAGCAGAATTAAAATCAGGGGTATAAATACCCCCTCCCACCAATGGTCTTTTTTTCCTGTCTTATCCCTATAGGACTCCAGTCATTATAGACTGT